ATTTAACAACAGAGATGGAATGTCTCGTGAGGTGGGGAGGTGAGGCCAGTCCCCTGGCCCCCGCGCAGCGTCTACACGCAGTGAGGCTCCAGCCGGGGCCCCTATGTGCAGGCTGAGGCCGAGAAAGCCGCTTCGACCCTCACTGGGCAATCAGGCGGGCGCTGTGCTTGAGTGGGGCAGAGGCCCCGTGCATGTCCCGTGACCTGGGGCAGAGCGGCCCCGGCTTGGTCAAGGGGGCGAGTCAGTGTGAGGCTGTCACCCTGGGCAATGTCCCCCAGGAAGGTCGGGCAGAGCGGAGAGGAGATCCGAGGAAGGGCAGGGGCAGGGAGGCAGGCAGGGCAGGGACGGAGCCGCTCGGAATGTCTGAGCCCTGCACTGTGGTCTGGCCTTGATTTTTCCGGTAAGGAGTGTGGATGAGGCTGAGCAAACGGAGAAGTCTCCTGGAAGAAAACAGGTTTTGAAATCATCCAGGCTGTCGTCCCAATCCCAGGCCAGTCTCCTTCCAGCTGTGTGACCTGGACAGACCACTTCCCGTCTCTGAAGTTGAGCATTTTCACCAGCGAGCCCATAGTGCCCCTTTGGAAGGACTGTTAGAGCAGAAATAAAAGCCACCTTGAGGCACAGGTTCTGCCCAGTAAATAAGGCAGGAGCTGTTGCTGCTAGCACTGTTACCATGTAGGCCAGGCTCTGCTTAATTCTTCCTGAACTGGGCGGACGGGAGCTCTTCTAAGAGACTGTCCGGCCACTGTCTTCCAGCTTGCAAGCACGCCAGGCCCTGGCCCCCAGCTCCGCGCTGACCTGGCGCCCAGCCCAGGGTCCAGGAGGATGCTGGCTCAGGCTGGAGCCGGCCTGAGGCAAGCCCCAGCATCAGCGCGGCGGCGAAGCCTGGCGCCACTCTGGGCCTGGGGCGGTGTCAGCTCCTCCCAAGCGCCGGGCGGCAAGGAGTTAGAGGCTTGGAAGGCCAAGGCCTGGTCCAGGGCTGCAGAGTGGAGCCGCCTGCAGGGCCCTGGAGAAGCACCGCCTGGCGTTCTGCTCACATTTTCCCTCTTGAGGAAAACGGCCTGCTTTCTAAACAGGCCCATGTCCCCCGCGTCTCAGCCGCGGAGGGGAGCCGGGGGTACCGGACGGGGGTGGGCAGGCTGGGCTCTGACTTTAGACTCGGCTGGAACCACCTTGTGGAACATCTGTGCGACCACAGCCCATAAAAATGTTTTCCCCTGGCAGCCGCTTTTATGAGATGTAATAATATCCGTGTTGCAAAAATAGCTCTGTTTTTGGTGGGTCAGCATTGCCAGCGAGCTGACCCTGACCAGGTGTGGAGGGAATCAGCAGGGGGGCCGTGGAAACACATCCGTGTGCCAGGCCCCTGCCCCCTCCCGGCCCACCCTCTTCCTTCCCTCCCCCGGGGCCCTGCTGGGCCTTCGCCTTGGCTCAGATTCCTGGCCTCGAGCTTCGCAGCCCCTTGGGTCGTCCCGGGGAGTCGGTCTGCTCCTGGAGAAGGCTCGCGCCCTGCCCAGGCCCCTCTGACCTCTGAGGGCCTGGCAGGGCCAGCCTCTCCCTTTGTTGGAGAACGGCTCTGATTCTGGAGCAGAGATGACGCCCAAGCCGTCTGACACCCAATGGGGCTTCACTGACCCCACGGCCCTGAGCCCTTTGCCTCCAGTCCTGGCTTCAGCTTTGGATGATGGGCGCTCATTTAAGATGGGATTCTCGTTGAGCTCACCGCCTCCCTGCTTCTCTGGGTGTCCCAGGGATCCACCGTCTGTGCAGAGCTGGGAAAGGAGGGAAACTGATTTGTGGGAGGACGTAATTCACTTGGGTCAGAGCCCCAGACCTCTCCTTGCTCAGAAGAGCAGCCCTGAGTGGCCATCCAGCCAGGCACGGGAGCCTCCTCCCCGTGGTAGGGGAGAGCCCTGGGTGCCAGCGTGTCTTGTGCAGCTCACCTTTTGGGGTTGAGTGGGCAGCCTCTGTCCTTCCCGTGGCAGATGGGGTTCCCATCCCGTTAGCACGTGTGTGCTCCAGCCATCAGGGCCAAGTGCATCTCACAGATGCTGCAGCTCTGCCCGGGGTCGGGGGGGGGGCGCTTCTCACACCTGAAACGGTGACGTTCACAGGCATGCACACCCCCTGTTTTGTGGGGACCCCTGGGATCTCCGAGGAGCGAGTCTCCCCAGGATCCTTGGCTAGAGTGCCTGGGATGGCTCAGCTGGTCCTGCTGGCGTCTCGCCGCCTCTCCGGTTCGGCCAGTCCGCCCAGAGCCAGGCGTCTTCCCTCTCAGAGACTTGGTGTCCTGGCTTCGGAAGGCGAGGATGTGGGTTCCAGGCTGTCACTCCACTCTGGTTCCCTCTCTCCCCAGCTTGCAGCGTCGTGACACAGGGCCTCCCATTTCTCCCCAGACCCCTCCGGGGACCTGGGGCGCCTGGCCGTGTGAGCGGGCGCTGTGACAGCTCCACTCCCCTCAGCGGTGATGGGATCACTGGACGCGCCCCCCCAGGCAGCAGGTTTCAGAGCGCGGCCATGACCTCCCGCGTCCTCCTCCTGGCCTGAAAGACCCAGGTGCTTTCCCATTTCCTGGGCTCGGGGCATGCAGACCTTTGACGCAGAAGAGCGTGTCCACGGCTGTCTGAAACCCAGACTGAACCCGGCTGGGCCGGGAGGGGGCCCTGCAGCTCCACCAGGGAAGGGGGTGGGCACGCAGCCCCTGACCTGGACACCAGGAACAGCTTCGTTTGGATCCTGAAAGGTGCACGAACACCGTCTAGCAGTCACCTCGCATTCTTGTCAAGCGAAATCACCCAGAACCCACAAGTCTGTCTGCTGGGCCTGTTTCCCATGTTGTTCTCGGCGAGATTAACGTCTGAGCCAAAGTATGTGGTCTGCGTTTGCCTGGGTGCGCGTGGTCACGCTGGAGCAGAAGGACCAGAGGCCGCCAGGCCCAGCAGGGCTGTCGTCGGGACAGGCTCTGTGACGTCTCCCTGCCTCAGTTTCCTCGGGTGCGGGGTGGTCCTGAGGAGGGGGAGACCCGGAAACTCTGTGCCCTGCCGCTGACCGTGTCTCTGGCTGGGAGCGACCCGTCCATCACCTCCACCCTTGATGCCCCTGGCACCGCCCCATGAACCCCGTCGGGCGCGCCTTCCCTCAGGTCCTGCACAGACAGACGGACCCAGGGCCTGGCAGGGAATCCTGCTGGCTGCCCTGGGGAACCAGCAGGCTGTGGTCCAGGCGGGGCCGCGGGACCCTAGGTGGGAAGCCGCTGCAGGGCCGCACTCTCGAGGAGCCTGTGTTCCTCAGCCCAGCGTCCCCGTCACATTGTGTCCATGGGCGGCCCACACTGGCTCCTGGAGCATCTGATTTGAAAATGTGCCAGGAGGTGGGTTTTTGTTTTTACTGGTCCCATCTAAAGTTGTCTGGATCAGTGTCAGGCCAGTGTTTAACTTCCAATTCCAGTCTTCCTTCGTTATGAAAGTGGGGTCAGCCTCCGCCCTCCACAGTGTTCTGGCGCCTCTGAAGCATGCTCTAGCTTTTCAGGGATGTCTGTGTCACAGAATCGGATTTTAAGATTCAGTCTGAACCTGAAGCCTAATCATTTTAAATGACTTGGTTCTCTCCTACCACCACCTGATTCCAGCTCTGTCTCCCTCTTAACTGGGTCTGTTGTACCTTTCCCAGTCTAAAAGTCACCCTAAAATTCATCGGTAAGAGAAGTCAAACCAGGTGAGGCAACGGAGGCCTTTAGCATCTGAACAGACCACCGTCCAGCGCAGGCATCTGCCCTGCCTGTTCCAGCTCTGCAGGTAGTTAGCCGTCCACCTTCGCTCTGCTGTTCTCACTCATCGGAGTTCATCCTGAGCTCTCGGCTTCCTGATCCGGTTCCTGTCCCGTCGTCCTGCTTCCTGATTGCCTGTGTGTTAAGCTTCCAGAGTTTATTTCAGTAACAGTGCTGACTGCAGTGTGGTTCCAGTCAGGTTGACCAGCATTTGTGCACTTAGTAATCTGCTCGGCGCCTGTGAGGGTGAAACAGGTACATCCACCCTTAAGGGATATGTGATCGTGGCGAGCAGGAAGCCCTGAACCTGGGGAGGAAGTCGGGGGAGAGTCGTGTTGTGCCTTGCCGCTCGTGTCAGGGTCGCCCATGCCTGCTCCCCCTTCCCCCGGCCTTCAGAGGGTGCACCCCTGGGCCAGGACCAACTCGCTGGGTGCCCCTCCTCCAGAACCCCCACCATCCCTGCGGAAGGGCCACATCTACATTGTTAAATACTAAAGAGACACGAGTTCAAAAAAGCCATTGGTTTGGACAGTTGGAAAATAGTGGAGGGCTTTGAGAGAATTATTTGAGAGGAAGAAGAATACTGAGATGAGTTACAGGAAGTCGGGAGAAAAGAACTGTGTTCCCTCGACAGGCGTGGCACAGAGGAAGGCAAGGACTCGGTCTTGAGATGGCTAAACGGGGGGTTTTATGCAGCGTTTCCACAGCTGCAGGTCGCATGTGAAAGGCCGCCTGGATGGACGGTGTGCATCCTTTCCTGGCCACGCGCTCCCCAGGAGGGACCGCCCCTTCAGCAGGAGCAGACAGAATGCAGGCTGGGGAGTGGGCACAGCGTTGATCTGGGCAGGCTCTGCCTTCCCCGCCCGTGTGGCCTTGGGCGAGTCTCCCCTGCGGCCTGAGTCTGGGGTCCCCTGTCTGACGCCTGGGGTTGGCATTGTTGGCCCCACCCCCAACCCCCGTAACTGCCAGGCACGGCCGCTGCTGGCGGGCGCCTTGCAGGCTCACCTGTGATATCAGGGCCTGAAGCCGCGCGAGTGCCCTCCTGCCGTGGAGCCGGGGAGGGCTGTGCTGTGGGCCCGAGACGGCCCTGGAGACAGGCCTCTGACCTTGCGCTGGTCCGACCGCCTGTGACCCTCGTGCCGGGCTTCCCGTGGCCCGCCCCCCGGGAGAGCAGGTTCTGTGCAGCCCCGGCGGCCGCCGCCCGGCGCTCTGACTCAGCCGTGTTCCCTTGCAGATGGAGAAGGACGAGACCGTGAGCGACTGCTCTCCGCACATAGCCAACATCGGGCGCCTGGTGGAGGTGAGTGGCCACCTCCCGGGCGGCTTCCCGCCAGCTTCCAGCCACACGGTGCCCGTTTCTGGGCCCCGCCTGGTGTCTCTGCGCCTTCTGACCCACTCGCAAGCTGGGCTCAGCGCCAGAGGCCCCTCCTCTGCCGCCCCCAAACACACGCACCCAGAGACTCAGCGCGGGAAGCCCTCAGCCCTGCCCCCCCACCGAGTGCGGGTGGGGGGCACCAGCTACCCCTCAGTGCCGCCCGGCCCCATGCCCTCCGGAAGAAGGGCTGCCCTGCAGAGTCGTCCCCGAGCCCACGGGAGGGCATGAGCGGCGGGCCGGGCCCTGGCCGGGGGCTCCCGCACCCCGCCGTGTGGCCGCCACGGGGACTGCAGATTGCCGGTGGGGCGGGCGCCTCCTGACTGTGCCCCCGACTGGCCGCCTCCCTTCCAGGACATGGAGAACAAAATCAGAAGTACGCTGAACGAGATCTACTTCGGGAAGACAAAGGACATCGTCAACGGGCTGAGGTAACGTACCCACGAGCGCAGGCTGTGGGGCCCGGAAGATGGGGGCGCGGGTCCAAGCTCACCGCCTAACAGCTGCACGGCCTGGGGCCTCTGTAGACCAGGGCCAGGGTGCCCGCCCGACGGGCGTTCACGCAGGTTTGCGAGCTGAAGCCCCGCGTGCAGGACTTGTTCTCAGGGTAGAGGCGCGTGCCGACCTCCTCCCTTTGTGTCTCCTGGGGGCTGTCCGCCTTCACGGCTTTCGTGCCCTCGTTCCTGTAGCCACCTCGCGGTCCCCCGGGCTGAGTCCCGCCTGAAGGTTCTGCCCAGACCCGCTGGCCCTGGGGCCTGAGGACCCCCGGGTCAGACCCTCCGACACAGCGGGGAGTGCAGCCTACGGTTGGCGGGGTGTCGGGCAGCGGCGCATCCCCCAGAGCGCGCCCCGGCCCCTGACCTCAGCCCAGGGGCTCCTCTCGGCGGCGTCCTGCCCACCCAGGAGCTGGGGCGGGGGGCCCGAGGCAGGGAGGCTGGAGTCTGGGCCTGGGGGCTCGAGCTCCACCCTTGGCCCCCGGCCTGCCGTCCCCCTGTGGACAGACCCCTCCTCTGGGCCGGGCAGCGGCAGGTGGTGGCCTGGTGGTGGCCTGGGTTTGAGTCTGTCCAGAGGAGACGGTTTGGTCTCAAACAGCTGTGAGAGCGGTGCTCACTCTGGACTCGCCTTTCTGATTCCCCGTCCGTGGGGAGCCTGGTCTGGCCCTGGGGGTTTACTCCCCCGCTCACCCCACACGGCATTGCTCTCCTTGGCCTGTTGAGCCTGGGGCGTCATCTCTGCGCAGAGCTTCCTGGCATGGGGCCCCTGCATCCTCCACGCCAGACACACCCATCGGCCTGCACCGTCCCGGGTGACGGCTGAAAACCGCGGCCCCCACTTCCTCCGCGCTGGGGCCCCTCCGCGGCCTTCACTCTGCACACTCTCTGTAGATCTGTTGACGTTATCCCCGACAACCCCAAGTTCCTGCAGCTGCAGAGGGAGCTTTCCCAAGTGCTGACGCAGCGCCAGATCCACATCCAGCCCGATAACTAAGCCGCTCCAGGTACCCTGCCTGAGAGCCCTGAGCACCGCCCCACGTAACAGGACTCACCCGCCCGCCGAGACCCCGCCGGCCCCTTAAACACCACTAACCCGTGTCCGCTCGGCCGGGAGCCGCCCCGTAACTGCCGACCTCGCCCTGCTCGACGCGGGCCCGGGCCACGTGTGCAGTGTGTGTGCTTGGCCACTCCGGGCAGGGCCGCGTGTGGGGCGGGCCGGCGGGCCAGGGTGCGGTCACCACGCTCGGCCGGAGGCTGGGGCGGCCTCTGCCTGCTCTGTGTGCGGCCGGAGCTTCGCCACCTTTCCACCAAGGATCCCAGAAACTCAGAAAGACGCCTTTTCGGTGGGCAGTTGCCTGGCGCTGGCTGGTCTAAGAGGGGTACTGCCCTGAGTCTGAGGGTGGGGCACAGAGCCAGCTCTCTTACGAGCACTCTGTAAGTCGCTCAGTCCTGTCTGACTCTGCGACCCCATGGACTGTAGCCCGTCAGGCTCCTCTGTCCATGGAATTCTCCAGGCAAGAACACTGGAGTGGGTAAAGATTCCCTCCTCCGGGGGATCTTCCCGACCCAGGGGTCGAACCCGGCTGCCCCACATTGCAGGCCGATTTTTAATGCCTGAGCCACCAGGGGAGCCCAGAGCGGGACTGTAGTGTCTGAGCCAGGCCTGGTGCCCCCAGACCCCCTGCAGCCACCGGGACCAGCATCACCCCCTGCCCCCGATGAGCTGCGGCCATCCTCCTAGACAGACGCCTTACAGTTGACAGAAGGGAGATAGTCTTGCTTGTGAACAACGGCCGAGAACCATGACTTGAGCATATGATGGATACTGATGTTCAAAAGCTGTCAGCATCCCCGGAGAGGAGGAGGGAAACTGGGTTTAATATCAGGTGTCTGGAGACCAGAGCCCGGGCCTAGGGGCTTCCTCCCAGGCCCGGGAGCTGGACGTGGGGCCCCGACCCAGAAGAGGCTCAGGGGGCTTTCACGGGGGGCTGGCCCCTGTTGCAACCAGGGAGGGCTGCTCTGCTGTGGCTGCAGCGGTCTGGTCTGGGTGCTCTCCGGCGTTGGGCCTGGGGCGTCTCTCGGCCTCCAGGCTCGTGCTGGGATCATCACCTTCCCATCAGAACGTTAAGAAGCCCCCTTTTAAAGGTGTTCTATTATAGTACAGTTCCCCCCAGCCACTCCGCTTCTGGGGGGGTGTCTAGAATCTTCTGGACCCCTCCCCTCAGCCAGGCCCTGTGGGGACATAGGACTCCCCCTGCCCCCCCATCCCCTGCTGCCCAGCCTGGCACCTTCTGTCCGGGACACACACGGCGCCTCCTGCAGACACTTGTGCCCGGTGGCTTGGCCGTGCGTGACCTGAGCTGCTTTCCCTAAACAAGCGCTCTCCCCGCACGCCTCCAGCCGCTCCAAGCCTAACCTCCTGTCTCTTACGGGTCCTCCCTCTGGACATTTTTCCTGGGGGTGGGGGGTGCTGGGTGCAGCCCAGGCCTGGCGTGCCCCTCCCAGAGGAGCCAGCACACGCTGCGGCCAGGGAGCCATGGGGGCCGCCGCGGTCTCCTCCCGCGGGAGCTGTGGAGGAGCCCGAGGGCCACCAGGCCGCCCGAGCAGAGCAAGCACTCAGAAACGCATGTTGTGCGGCATCAGCCAAAATGTCAGCATTTCTCATGGGAGGTTCTGGCTGCACGTGGAGTCTCTGAGAGTCTTGTCTCTGCCGTCCTCCTTACCTTCTCGAGGGCACTTCCCAGGGTGTTCCCAGGACTCGGGAGCCAGCACTCCATGTGGGTGCTCCTGGTCCTACCTCATTGTGCTTAAGCCACGTTTGGCGCTGGCTGGGGGGTCATTTTTTGTTCTCCTTCCCATTCTGCTTCACGGCCAGTGTGCATCAAGCTTGAGGTTCCTGTGGCTCCACAGTGGTCCTGCCAGGCAGCCTGCCGCCCTTGCTTTCCACTGCCTTGAGACTGTTCTAAAGGTTATACATAGTTTAATAAGCCCCTGGTTAGCCTGTACATTGGGAAAACTTGACCAGGATCACTAAGGTCATTGCCAGGGGCATTTCTCAGAGCCTCAGTTTCCTCATCTGTAAATTGGGACTAGTGCTCGGACTCCTCTGTGATGCTCGTGAGAGTTGTGTACTGGAGAAGCACTTACGAATGATAAGTTACACGTCATCCACAAAGCTTAGCTGTTGCGCACCTTGTCTAACCCGTGTGTCGGTGCACTCACGTGAACGTTTGCACGAATCCAGGTGTTGACCCACAGCCACTCAGCTGCATCGTGCTTGGAAGCCCAGAAGCCACTTGTGGTTCAGGCTGATGTTGTGACGTGTGCCCGGAGTCCAGGTCACAGCCAGCCTGGGGCAGAACTGGGCCATGGCCTCCCCTGCAGGGCCTGGCGAGGTGCTGAGGGGCCAGCCTCTGGCTCTGGGCCCTCCGCACCCCCCGACCTTCCCGCATGGCTTGCAGCTCCGCTCCTAGAGGCGACGTGGGTGGAGGGGCGCCTGGCCCCATGACCCTCCCACCCCGGAGGCACCGCGTGACAGCTCTCCCCTTTTCCTTTCCTCTTCCACCCACTCATGACGATTCTTACCCCCTCCACCCCGCAGGTCTGTGCAGACTTTTGCAGACAAATCAAAACAAGAAGCTCTTAAGAACGACCTGGTGGAGGCTTTGAAGAGAAAGCAGCAGTGTTAAAGCCTCTGCTTCCCACTGACCGGAGACGCCGCGCGCTGTTAGGCTCCTTTCTTAGACACTCGTTTCCCGCTCCCTCCCTCGTCCCTTTCCTCCCCGACAGGTCACATAACAACTCGCATCACCACCGCAGCGCCATCTCTCCCGAGAATAAACCCGGTAAACACCCCTGGTCTCGGAGGCCTCCTTCCCCCACCACGTTTTGCTATCACGACTCGGTATTCCCATAGAGACCGCGTTTTCTGTCCGCCCCAGCCCCCCCCCCCCCGCCGTCTCCCCACCACCCATTTATAGGCATAAAAATACACTGTCTGTCTGCCTCCCTCCCCTCCCACCTTTTTGTTACATTGGTGTAAAAAATGTAAAACAAAAAAATTTTATGAAATAACTGTGGTGTGTGAAAGATAGAAGAAAAACTGGAAATCTGATTCCATGTGTGTTTGGGAGTTGCTTGGGGTTGGGGGCCGGGCGGGGGACAGGGGACAGCTCTGGGAGAAAGGAGAGGTGGCCCTCGGCACGGTCCCGCGGAGACCACGCGGTGGGGGACGGGGACTGCGGACCGTCCTGCTCTTCTGGCCAGGTGCTTTTCTGTCAATTTTTATGGAATGCAAAAGGAGTTTTTGTTTTATTTTGTTTTTTTGTAAAGCTTAAAAAAAAAATCTACATCTTATACTTGAGCTTCCATACTTAAAAAAAAAGAAAAAAAAGAACAAAAAAAATAAATAAAAAGAAACTGGGACGCAGTTAGCCTTGTGTTTTTTTTCTCGCCTGCCTCACTTTCCGAGGATGTGTGACTGTGGCCGCCCCGCTGGGGGGCGGGGGGCACGGCGGGGTGTCGGGCGGAGGGCGTGTGTAGCCCACGCAGTGAGTGAGCAGGGGCGAGGGGTCCCTGCAGGGCCCCAGCTGCTTCTCCAGGCCCCTGCCCCGCCTGTCCTGAAGCACTGGGGCCGTCACCTCGTCGGGCGTGATGGGGTGGGGGCTCCCCGACCCCGTCCCCTTTCACTGGGCACAGGCATGACCTGTCCAGACGCAGTCCCCGCTTCGCTCCACTGGGTCTGATGAGAACGTTCCCAGATGGGGGCGCACCTCTGAGTGCAAAGCACCGCTGAGGTGGAGCGGGGAAGGAGAGACCCTTGTGCGCAGCACCTTTTGAGGACCTTCAGGTGGAGAAGATAAGGGAGGTGGACAGGTGCAGGCCCGTGGAGCCAGGGCCAGCCCCCCAGGCGGGCTGCCGATCTGACCTCCTCACGGGCTCCTGGGGGCAGGACGCCTGGCTCAGACAGCGAGTTCATTGTCAGTAGGTGTTCAGTGCCGGGATCAGGAGTGACACTTCAAAGCCAGAAGCTGTAACTATGATGTATGAGAGGCCCGATCTTAGTGTTCTAGAATCTCCCGTCACTGGAAGGGCCGTCGCTGCTGTTTTCTGGCGCTGGGTCAGGCTGGTGTGATGGGGAGCCACGGGCTCAGAGACCAGCCGTCCCCGGCGAGGGGCAGCTGGAAGCAGGAGGCAGGAGAGCAGTGTAAGCCGCTGGCTGAGGGCCAGCCCCGGCCAGTGCTGACCCTGCTCGGACGGGGCGGGCACCGTGGCGGCCGGCAGGCCCCCCCAGCGTCCTGCAGAGGGACGCGAGGCCGAGGGAGCCACACCGGGGCTGCGGGGGGCCCACCGGCTCTCTGGGGCCCCCTGCCGCTGACGGTGACTCCTGGGCTTCGGGGGCAGCATTGAATGCTCCCCTCCAGGGGCGCACTAGGTGCTTGCTGGCACTTGACAGATGACGGGAGGCCCCTGAGGTGACGGAGGGGCAGCAGGGGTCCCGGTCTGGGCCCGGGGCTTCCGAGATCTTGCCCGCCTTCTGATCTCAGCCTTGCCAGAGTCGCCCTGGCGCGCCTGGCACCCGTGACGGTCCCCGTTTCTAGAAGCGCGAGGGCTCCGGCGGGTGACCCGGGGATCCGTCTGCACGGCCCTCCCACTGTCCTCTTCCTGCAGCCTTGACAGGCCAGCCTCTCGGATGGAGCCCTTCCTGAGCCCCGATTCCAAGACTGTCCTCAAACCTTCATTCGTTCAGATCCTGGAGCAAGCAGCCGCCGTGCTTCAGGGCAGGTCCGAGGGGACCCTTCCTCGGGAGGGTAGCCCAGGCCTGTGGGCCTGCTCTGGGCTCCTCTTCCTTCTGCGGTGCCGCCGCCTCCCCGCAGCCTGGGGGCCGGGGCAGCCTTTAAGCCCACCGCACAGGCAGAGGCAGGCGCCCGCCCCCCAGGGCAGCCGTCCCCTCACTCACCCTACTCCCTCGGCTGGCGCCCCCGAGAGGGGACCTTTTTCTCCTGACCAGTGATTGTTGTTTAAGTATCTATAGCAAAATCTTACAAGACAGTGTGTCTCATTCCAAACAGTATTATTAAACATGATGAATTACATATTAATTACAGAAGTGAAATATTATAAATTAAAGTGTGCCATCATTTTTTTCTTAAAACCTTCAGCAGGAAATCCAGATTATACTTAATCACACCATGTCAAGTCGATACTTCAAACAAAACTCCCACCTCACAACAGGTATTTTGTGTGAGAGCTTTCTTATTGATTCTGCAAGTCGCTTTTCAGCTGTTCACAAAACAGGTGGTCTATTGATATTCTTTTAAAATTCATTGTTGAAATTTTTTCTTGTTTTATGAAAAGTTTTGACATAATTCCTATCACTTCAACTCTAGCTTTTTAATAAGATGGGGATTTCAGAATATAAACAGTATTTTGTATAAACTCATAGTTTAAAGAAGTTTTCTGAAATACATTTAAATGTGGGACAGTATTTTAAAGATTTTGCTTGAATTTCCTACTCTTATTTTCTTAAAATAAGTAATTTAAAATATTGCTTCAAATAATAAAATATTACTTCATGGACACACTCATATGACCATTCTCTACCTTTCTTGTGAATGACTGATATCATGTATGTGTATGTACATGTATATGTGCATACATGTGGATACGTGTGCACATGCGTGTGCATACATGTGTGTGTGTGTCTCTGACAAGTCTAGTGAATGAAATCCTTTACTTCCTCCACACACCTGACCGCCCATTTCTCATGCATATTGGGCACTGAGATTATTTTGTAATAACTATATATGAGTGACAATGTTGCAAGATATATTTTCAGAACCCACAACTTTCCATTCAAGTTCTAATAATAGCTGACAAGATACTTACTCAGATAGCTTTACTGAGATATAACTCACATTCAGCTCGCCCATTTAGTGCTCCAATGCAGGGACTTCCTGGCGATCCAGTGTCCAGGACTCCTCACTTCCTCTGTGGGGGACACAGTTCTGATCTCTGCTCACGGAAGTAAGATGCCACATGCTGCATGGCAGAGCCGTAAAAAGTAAAGTGCAGAAATCCATATGTTTCATGGAATCACTCTACTGTACACCTAAACTAACACATTTTTCAGTCAATTATACTTAGATGAGGAGCTTCCCTGGTGGCTCAGTAAAGAATTTGCCTGCAATGCATGAGACCTGGGTTCGATCCCTGGGTCGGGAAGACCCCCCGGAGAAGGGAACAGCAACCCACTCCAGTACTCTTGTCTGGAGAGTTCCATGGACAGAGGAGCCTGGCAGGCTGTAGTCGATGGGGTCACAAAGAGTCAGACACAACAGAGAGACTAACACTTTCATACTTAAATAAAATTTAAATATTTATATATAAAATAAATAAGCTGTACAAATCCAACAGTTGTGTGACGGTTCCGTGTCTCTCTGTTTGACTGAGGGCTCCTTGAGGGACTGTGTTTCAGGCATTCACTTCACTCGCTCACTTGTTCACCACTGTCCTGCGGACACAATGGAGACGGGGGATGTTGGTGTACGGTCTGGTGGAGAAGGGAAATACTTGCCAACAAGTCTTCCGAGCACTCGTGTGTGCCGGGTAAAGAGCCTCTGCTGGGTGGCTGTCGGGTGGCACGGGGCTGGGGGACAAATTCGTGGTTATCCTCTGGACTGAGTTAATCACGGGAAAGGCAGTCCCGCAGTTCAGTCACTCAGTCGTGTCCGACTCTTTGCGACCCCATGGACCGCAGCACGCCAGGCCTCCCTGTCCTTCACCATCTCCCGGAGCCTGCTCAAACTCATGTCTGTTGAGTTGGTGATGCCACCCAACCATCTCATCCTCTGTCGTCCCCTTCTCCTCCTGCCTTCAATCTTTCCCAGCATCAGGGTCTTTTCCAATGAGTTGGCTCTTCACATCGTGTGGCCAAAGTACTGGAACTTCAGCTTTAGCATCAGTCCTTCCAGTAAATATTTCCTTTAGGATTGATTGGTTTGATCTCCTTGCAGTCCAAGGGACTCTCAACAGTCTTCTCCAACACCAGAGTTCAAAAGCATCGATTCTTCAGCACTCAACCTTTATGGTCCAACTCTCACATCCATACATGACTATTGGAAAAATCATAGCTTTGACTAGACAGACATTTGTTGGCAAAGTAATGTCTCTGCTCTTTAATACGCTGTCTAGGTTGGTCACAGCTTTTCTTCCAAGGAGCAAGAGTCCTTTAATTTCATGACTGCAGTCACCATCTGCAGTGATTTTGGAGCCCAAATAAAGTCTTTCACTGTTTCCATTATTTCCCCAAGTATTTGCCATGGGACCGGATTTCATGATCTTAGTTTTTTGAACATTGGGTTGTAAGCCAGCTTTTTCACTCTCCTCTTTCACCTTCATCGAGCGGCTCTTTAGTTCCTCTTCGCTTTCTGGCATCAGGGTTCTTTGGCTGCTCCCCACTCCCTGCCGTCGGGCTCACACTGATGAGGTTGACGCTTGGACATGCAGCTCCTTCTGTTTCAGGGAGCCCTGTGGTCCCAACATTCCGCCCCGATGAGAGCCAAGTGCGGCAGGAAGAGGGCTGAAGAGGTGACTGTAGGTTTCTCCTTTTTCTTAGCTTCAGGAACTGAAGGCCATGCAGCCAGGGCAGAAAGGCAGTCCACCTCTGGGGCCTCACTGGCCAGTGAGCACCACCGGTCTGGGCGGTGGAACCGACTGATGGTCAGACTGGTCCGCCCACTTTGGGAGGAACCCGGTCCCCGTGTGGGTGGACACGCTGATGCGCCTTCATCTGGCAAACCTGCCTTGTGCGCCCACTGCCCCGAGGGCCTCTGTCAGACAGGGCATGCCCACGTCTCCACCATCAGACTCGCTGAGGAGGAAAGAACCGGAGCTCTCGTTAGACTGGGTGGTGCCTGCAAGCAAGAGCCATCACCCCACCAGACGGGGTGTTCCCCAGAAGGAAGGGATTATGTCAGCCCCACCCCCAGGGCAGGGGCTGTGCTAGCTTGTCCCTTCCCCGCCATAACCCTAACCCTAACCCGGTGGGCACCTGGCTTCACGCTGAGCCCCCAGGTCCTCTGGCTGGGGGGCCGCCAGCCTGGCCACAGCCCTGGGTGGAGCCAGACCCTGGCTGCAAAGGGCACTGAGGCAGCTGGCACGTGGGCATGGGAGGTGCTGCTCGAGACAGTGGGCAGGGGGCCCGGGCCCAAGAGGGTGGGCCCCAGGGGCAAGGGTGGGGCTGGGCCCCCAGCCAGGGGTGGGGCCAGGGGCGGGGCCCGTTGGCATCTGCGATGAGGGGCCTCATGTCGATGTAACTGCTTCTGGCCCCAGGCGCCGGCACGCTGCTTAGCTCTTCAGAGCCCGTTTTCCCATCTGGAAAATGGCCACGATGACCGCACCTCCCTCAGATGGGGCTGTGGGGAGCAAGGGGGCACAGCCTAGCCCCCCACACAGCGTGTACTCAGCAAACATCAGCTGCAGGCCAGGTGACACCGGGGCCCCCGCAGGCCCGTCCCCTCACCCCACCACCCAGCTGAACCTCAGAGGGGCTCCCCAGTCCCCAGTTCCCTCCTCTTTCCCCCACCAAATCCAGCTGCCTGCAACGAGCCTGGGCATCCGGCCCAGCCCCCACCACCATCCTCACATGGGCCCCACGTAGGGGGCAGCCCTGACTCCCACCCCCAGGCCTTTGCACACACTGTTCCCTCGTCCGCTCCAGGGCCACTCCTCCAGGAAGCCTTCCCTGATTGCCTCCTCACTCCTCCAGCACTTTGTACCTTCTGGCCACAGTCCTTTCCTCCACAGCCCAGCAACCATCTCCCCTCCTTGAGGGTGAGGACCAGAGTTGGTTCACCCCAGATGCCCAGCACAGCATGGGCCAGGGTGGAGAGGAGAGCTGCCTTTGGCAAATTTTTGTGGCACCAGACTGGGCCGGGCATCCCTTGAGGCTGGAGGAGGAAGATGCTGAGACAGGCTCATGCTGAGGCCCGCCTCCTCCCCACCAGCCTTCGGCCTCGCCTGGCGCCTCCCACCCCACTGGCTCCTGGGACCTGGGTGGGCAGGGCGCGGTGTGTGGGGCCAGCACACGGGGGAGCTTTGTCACTGGCCCCCGAGGGGCTGGGGCCAAAAGGAAGTGGACTCGGGAGGGGGTCTGGGAGACACATCAAGGTGGGACAGGAAGCTATAGAGCCCGGGGCTGAGCCCTGCCCTCCTCTCCAGCCTTCCCACCTGCAACACCCTTACTTCCCCCAGGTTATCTCCCGCTCATCGTTCTGCTGCGTCACCTCCTCCAGGAAGGTCTCCACCAGGGGAATCTGATTGTCCTCTTCCACCATCAAAAAATGATCAAAGCTAACCTTCATGGAGCTTTTACTGCCACCAGACTTGGGGTAACCTCCGTAACCACACCATTTTATTTACTCCTTAGAAGGATGTGTGAAGTGGTGGTACTATCGTCCCATTGCACAGATGAGGTAAGTGTGGCACAGGGAAGCTGAGATGCAGAACCAAGGTCTGAACCTTAACTGTCCTGCTTCTTGCTGAGCGCCGCAGAGCAGGGTCCCTGTTGGAGGGTCTTTTCTCGCCACTGTGTCCTTACCACCAGGTATGGAGCCGTCACAGAGAAACAGGTTGAAGAACCCAGAGGCCCGGGAGGCTGGGCAGGGACAGGCCAGCAGACACAGCCCCCTCCGGCCTGGATCTCCCACACTCTGAGCCCTCACGCCCACCTGGGGCCTGACTCCCATCCCTCCCCATCCCCCAGAACCTGGCACCTGGGGAAGGAAGACCACCACAGGCCACCTGGGAGTACCGTTTACTAGGCCACGTGTGGTGGACAGGGCAGGCCTGGGTGCGCCTAGGCCCCTCCTTGGGGGGTGGGGGGTGCCAACGGGGTGACAAGTGGAAGACAAGTCCCAAGTCGGGGTGGGGGGCCCAAGGGCCGTCCTCCAGGAAGAGGCGGTCAGCCAGGGCTTCAGCTCACGAGCCTCTGGGGGTGCTGAGGGGGCATTTGGGCCAGCAGTTCCGGGCTCCCCGGGGCTCCCCCGGCCCAGACCGGGGCAGGCAGCGCCGTGACTGCACGCCTCTCCCTTCCTGGGGGTGTCAGGAGGCCCCAGGCACCTCCTGGGCTTGGCCTAGTCCTGCTCAGCTGCGGAGGAGCGGCTGGCGCTCGGATGAGGGGGTGGCGTGCCGGTACATGAAGAACTGCACGGAGATCTGGGGGTCGACGTCAAGGCCCAACACGCAGAGGCGGGCAGGTCCCGCCCCGGGGGCCTGCTCAGAGATGGTCCCCTCTGTCCTCCCTCCCTGCCCCGCACCCTGCTGCTGGGAAGGGTCAGCCGTGGCCTCCCGGCCCGTCTGTCCCCCTTGCCAAACCCCATTCATCTGCCAAGCCCAGCACCGGGGTCCTCCTCCCCCAGGCAGCCTTCTCTGACCCCAGCCCCACCATCTGGCCTTCCTCCCCTCTCCAATATCCTAGGGGGTCCCCCAAGTGGCGGTGGTGGGGGGCGGGGATCTGGGGACACTAGAGCTTAGCTTTTCTTCATCTCTCTTTGCACCCACCCGGAACGCCACAGACATTAAAACAAGGGCCATGTTTACTTCCTCCCAAAGGAGATCAAAGTAACGCCCTGCCTGCCCCTGGCAAACCCTTACTGAGCACCAACGGTGTGCGAGGTTCACTGCCAAGGACTTCCAGAGACCTCAGCTCGTGTGACTGCCTGTGACTTGATGGAACACCGAGATGGGGACACGGAGGCACACAGAGTGCCCCATGTCACACAGGACACAGGGGAGCCAGGACTGGAACTCAGTTTTTTCTGTCTCTAATTCACGTGTGTCTCCAAGGTGCAGCTTTCCTTTCTCCAGCCTGGATGGGCTGACTTATGCCCTGCTCCCCAGGGTCTTTGCACGAGCTGTTGCCGCAAACATTCCTCCCTTGCCTTTGCCTCCCTAACTTCTTCTCCTTCAGGGCACAATTCAAATGGCACTCGTGGAGGCCTCTGCTGAGCCTCTAAACCAGGACAGCCCCCTGGTCACACACACTTACAGTTTTTCTCCGCGGTACTCGGTGGCACCGCAGTGAATTACTTATGATTATGTGTGTCCTGTCGGCCTCTCCACTGAGCTATAAGCTCCCCAAGGCAAGGGCCATCTGTTCTAGCTCATGACTGGATCTGGTGCCTACAGGAGTGCCCAGAACGTGGGAGGTTTGACTCTTGAATGGGTGGATGGATGATGGATGGATGCACAGATGGATAGATGGATAGATGATGGATGGATGGATAGAAGGATGGATGGATGCACAGATGGATCGATGGATGAATGGATGGATGGATAGATGGATGCGTGAATGGATAGAAGGATGGATGGATGATGGATAGATGGATGGATGGAGGCATGGATAGAAGAATGGATGGATGGATAATGGATGGATGAATAGAAGGATGAATGGATGATGGATAGATGGAGGGATGCACAGATGGATAGATGATGGATGGATGGATAGACGGATAGAAGAACAGATGGATGCATGGATGGATAGATGGATGGATGGGTGGATAGATGGATGGATGGATGGGTGGATAGATGGATAGATGGATGGATGGATGGATGGATGGGTAGACGATGGATGGATGCACAGATGGATAGATGATAATGGATGGATAGAAGAAGAGATGGATGCATGGATGGATGGATGATGAATAGATGGATGGATGCATGGATGGATGGATGGATGATGGATGGATGGATGGATGGATAGATGGACAGAAGAACAGATGGATGGATGGATGCATGGATGGATGGATAGATGGGATGCATGGATGGATGGATAGATGGGATACATGGATGGATAGAAGGATGGCTGGATGATGGCTAGATGGATGCATGGATGCTGAAATCCCCAGCCGCCCCACCCACCCTCACACCCTGAAGGATACGATGGTGTCGAGCAGCAGGACACCCAGGCTGCCCACGAGCCAGGGCAGGTGGTGCAACACGTAGCTGCCCTCACTCTGGCCCTCCTCGGGGTTTTTGAGCAGCACACTCAGTCCATACAGCGTGTTGCCTAGCATCACCAAGGCGAACAGTGAGTACGAGATCCCCTGGGTTGACTTCCGCAGGAACTGGAGGCAGAAAAGGAGAGAGTCAGAGACCTCCAACAGTGTTCCTGTCTCTCTGGACCGTAACTGTCCACATGCCCGTCTGCCCTGTTACACTAAGCCGACTGCACAGGGTGTGACCAGAGCCCGACACAGGCCTGGGGCCCAGACCATCCCTTCCAGGGCCTGATTCCTCATCCCGTTCCAACATCCTCGCCCAGGTCGGCAGGAGATCGGGGCTGCGCTACCCTGCTGGCCCCAAGCTGCCCACTCCCCAGCCCCCTGCCAGCTCAGCTCAGCAAGCCCCCACGGCCCTGGTTCCCACCTCCTCTTCTGCCCCCAGCCTCTCGCTCCCAGCTGACCTCCTACCTCCCCGGGGCACGCAGGGGTCCTGTACCCCCGAGTAGCAGCCCGGCATCTCGTGCCCATTCCCAGAGGCAGGCACTGAGGCTTGGAGAACCAGATTCAGCTACCCAAGCCAACAGTGAGGGTGGACCAGACGTGCTCCATGAAGACCCCGCACCCCTGTGCTGGTCCTTCACCCAGGGGCCCAAGCTGCCCATCGGCCCTGCCCCCAGCCCTGCCCCCTGCCCGCGGCTCACGTTGGTGCGGATCTGAGGCAGCCGGGAGAACAGGTACAGCGCGCTGGACACGGAGCCGATGACGAAGCCAATGATCTCCTTTTTCGTGAAGGGCTGAGAGGGCGGGGGAGGCTGCTCGGTGCCCGGCGGAGGCCAAGGGTGAAGGACGAGGGCCCCAAGCTCCCTTCTGGGGAGGGATCCCCCCGATCATGTGGCCCCAACCCCACTCCACCCTCTCACGCCCGCGTCTCACCTTACTGCCCGGCTCCACGGACAGGAGCGTCCGCCCCTGGAAGACCTCCCTCGGGGCAGCCACCGAGCCAGCGCTTCTCAGCAGCGGGGTGGTGCACGCCACGCCCAGGATGAACAGGAGCAGAGAGTTGATGGGGGCAGACCCTGGACGCGAGGCGGGGGGACGCTGAGGTGAGGGGTCTGAGTGCGGGCAGACAGGCAGGGCTGAGTCCTGGCCTTGCCCCTCGGTGGCTGTGTGACCTTGGGCAAGTGACCTAGCCTCTCAGCTTTCATCCTTCATCTGCAGAGTGGGTATAACGAGTGCCCTTCTTCTAGGGTTGTGAGGGCGACTCGGTGAGGGCGATGGGGGCGGGAAGGGGGCTAGGGAGCAGGGAAATGCTCATGAAGCCCCCCCCACATATCCGGGTCGTTTCTTGTAAAGCCCGGGATCTGACCCCTTGGGAACACTTCAGGGCAGCGATGGCCTGTGGGCCAGGTGCAGAAGGGCAGCCGACGCGGTGTTCATTGAAGGAGACTGTGCACGTGACGGGGACTCCCCGTGTTCCTGCCCGGACGTGCTCACTGCCCTCTATCTCGGTTCATCAGGGCATCAGGCCGCGGCGGTCAGATAAGGCCAGAGGAAGCCTTTCTGGGGTTCGGTGTATCACCAGCCACAGGACACCACCTCCTCCCAGCCTCCCAGGCCTCCCCCAGGCCCCTGACACCCAGGGGCCCCCGTACTCACACGGAGAGGGGCGCTTCTTAAACTTGTAATAGAAGTACAACGACAGCATCAGCACGTCGGCCAGGACGTAGTACACGGCCGTGTAGGTCTGCAAGGGGGGGCCCAGGGCGTTGGCGGCGGTCCCAGGCGTGGGGGCCACACGCCAGCACCGGGCAGCTCGGCCTCATGCCGGCCGGGTGGCCCTGAGCCTCAGCACTCGGGACTTCTGTCTGCAGGTCTCGAACAGAGCGGGTGGCAATCCCTAACCTGGCAGAGCTAGACATCAGGTAGGGGACGGCCTGCAGGTGCCTGGCTGGGCAGAGGGAGGAAACGGTGGCCGGGGTGACCAGGCAGCACAAAATGGGGCATTACAGTCCAGCCTGACCCGGGAGCAGGTACTCACGGTCCCCCTCGGGGAGACAAGAGGGTCCTGATTTCGAGTCTCAGCTCCACCCAGTCACAGAAGGGTGATACCCAGGCTTCCCATGGGAAAAGCTTCCTCTTCCAGGGCCCCAGGCCCTGAAAGCTTCATCAGGCTCTTAGCACCTCAGAGGCCAGAGCCCCGAGCCACCCTCTGGTTTGATGTGCTCAGTTTGTAGATGGGAAAACAGGCCCACCGGAAGGCAGGGACCAGCCTGTCGTCACAGTGGGCAGCAGGCAGAGGGGGGCCCTCACTAGATGGAAGGATGCCTCTGCCGCAGCTGTCCCTGGCGGCCCACCCTGCCCAGGGGCCGGCCCACCTGCAGGGGCAGCTGGTCAGCGAGGAAGGAGCCAATGAGATTGCAGGAGTCTCCACCGATCCAGCCCAGGAGGAACCACAGCGACAGGGCCTGGTCCATGTTGCCCGTCTTGCAGGCCTTGATGTACTGGCTGCGGGGGAGGAAGGAGATGGGGGGAAGAGGGAGACGGGGTGGGGAGGAGGGGGTGGGAGGAGGGAGACGGGGGGAGGAGGGAGACGGGGTGGGGAGGAGGGGGTGGGAGGAGGGAGACGGGGGGAGGGAGACGGGGAGGAGGGAGACGGGGTGGGGAGGAGGGAGACGGGGGGAGGAGGGAGACGGGGAGGAGGGAGACGGGGTGGGGAGGAGGGGGTGGGAGGAGGGAGACGGGGGGAGGGAGACGGGGAGGAGGGAGACGGGGGAGGGAGACGGGGAGGAGGGAGACGGGGTGGGGAGGAGGGAGACGGGGGGAGGAGGGAGACGGGGAGGAGGGAGACGGGGTGGGGAGGAGGGGGTGGGAGGAGGGAGACGGGGGGAGGAGGGAGACGGGGAGGAGGGAGACGGGGTGGGGAGGAGGGGGTGGGAGGAAAGGGGGGGAGGAGGGAGACGGGGGGAGGAGGGAGACGGGGAGGAGGGAGACGGGGAGGAGGGAGACGGGGTGGGGAGGAGGGGGTGGGAGGAAAGGGGGGGAGGAGGGAGACGGGGGGAGGAGGGAGACGGGGTGGGGAGGAGGGAGACGGGGGGAGGAGGGAGACGGGGAGGAGGGAGACGGGGGGAGGAGGGAGACGGGGTGGGGAGGAGGGGGTGGGAGGAGGGAGACGGGGGGAGGGAGACGGGGAGGAGGGAGACGGGGTGGGGAGGAGGGGGTGGGAGGAGGGAGACGGGGGGAGGAGGGGGTGGGAGGAGGGAGACGGGGGGAGGGAGACGGGGAGGAGGGAGACGGGGTGGGAGGAGGGGGTGGGAGGAGGGAGACGGGGGGAGGGAGACGGGGGGAGGGAGACGGGGGGGAGCAGGGAGACGGGGAGGAGGGAGACGGGGTGGGGAGGAGGGAGACGGGGGGGAGGAGGGAGACGGGGTGGGGAGGAGGGAGACGGGGGGAGGGAGACGGGGGGAGGAGGGGGTGAGAGGAGGGAGACGGTGGGGGGGGTGGGGCGAGGAGGGAGTCGTGCGCTCAGAGCCCCCGGCTGTGACACCGCGTGGAGCGTAAAGGTGGGAGACCGGGGCTGGGGGGCGGCCGCACAGTGGTCTCTGGGGCTGACCCCCTCGGGCGGCATCCTCATGGGCCTATCTTTGCCCTTGGGGGCTTCTCACCAGGGAATCCCTTCCAGCCCAGCTCTCTGGGACACGCCTCCTGTTACAGTCAAGGTTGGGTACGGACTCCCCCCAGAGAAGGCTCTCACTGGGACCGGGGCTCAGAGGGTCCCGACGCTTTGTGTCCCAGAGACCCTGGGCTCAGTCTTCTATGGAGGGGTCTGGGGTCGGGGTGGCGTGAGGGAAGGATGGCTGTGGCCGCGGGCCCGGGGCCTGGCCGCGGCCCTATCTGCAGGGAGATGGAGGATAAGATGGGCCAGACCTCGCCTGTTATCAGCGAGGGCCGCAGAGAAGGGGCGGGGCTGCGGCTCTCCCCTTACAGATGCCAAGGCGGCAAGTCCCTGTGGCTGATGGGCCTCTCTGGGGGTGCAAAGTCCGGGAACCAGGATTCATACCCCAGCTCCCGGGCTCCAGCCCTGCTGTGAGTCATTCCACGAGGGCCACCTGCCGCTTACATGTCTCTTTAGTCGTTTGCATGTATTTAAATTAGTAAAAGAGGATGCCTAAACAGGACCTCATCGGGCGATTGATCACTGGAGACAAACTGGGACAGCTGGGTGGGCGCTGGGCCTTCCCCGCCGTCTCCTGCCGAGCGCCCCACCAGGTACCCCTGCGAGCCGGTGCCCCGCAGTTCCAGCCTCCCTCTCAAGGATCTTTCTTTTCTTTCTCTCTCATTTTTATTTATTTTCTTGGTCACACTGTGTGGCCTGTGGGATCTTAGTTCCCCGACCAGGGGTCAAACCCAGGCTTCCTGCACTGCGAGGCAGATTTTAACCCCCAGACCGCCAGGGAAGCCCTCAAGGATCTTTCCAAAACCCCGGTCTCGCCAAGATCTTTCAGAGGCTCCCACGGTCTTCGGCAAGGACCCCACCCTCCAGAGCACATCCTGACCGGACCGCAGGCCACCCCACCTCTCCACTCTCCTCCCCCAAACTCCGCCTCCGCGGACAGCCCACCAGCCCTTCTCTGCATCCTCCAGGAAACTTCAGTCCCTCCTCAGGCCCTTCTCAGACGCGAGCGCTGTCAGCGCTGGCCACCCCCTCCTGGACCCAAGCCTGCTGAGGGACGGGGCCGTGTCCAGCACAGGCCAGGCCCTGAGGAGGCCCGAAAGTTTGACCTGCAGCCCCGAGTACAGTACCTCCCAGGACATGGTGACCTGAAGAGTCTCCATCCGTCAGGGATGGCCATTCCGTCACTCTCACGAAAGGCCGAGTAAGTCCTAAGGAGAAGCTGGCAGGTGGCTGCCTTTCCAGCCTCACCTGGGGCTTCTCCCAGACCTCTGACGCCCCCTCCCTGGTTAACCAGCCAGGCCCAGGGCTGGCATCACGCCCTGCTGGAAAGGAGATGCCTTAGCCCGCTCCTCGTGGCTTTGGGGACGCTCTCACCCCAGGACGGGAAGTCTCTCTCTGCCCTCCAGCGGTCACCCAGCTCTGCCCACTTTGCCTCCTCAGGGCCACCGAGCTGACCGTCCACTGCTTGCGGACAGCTGGCACAGCCTCCAAGGCAGCCTCTCCACCTCCAATCTCTCCCTGGCCCTCACCCTCTTCCTCTAACGGAACTTCTGCAAAGACAAGGATGGGGTCGGTTCCGCCTACTTTTGGCACATCTGGAGTGACAGCTGGGACAAGGTGAGTCAGAAACATGTCAAGCTCCCAGCAGCATGCTGGGACACAGGGTGATGGTAGTCCTTTTAACACCTAGTCCGGGGACAACTGGGTACCACGTGCAAGAGAATGAGGGTGGACCCCTACCTCACACCGTGTACCAGATACAGCTCAACTGAATCAAAGCTCTATATTAAGGGCTGATTTGTGATACCGTGATTTATAACAAGAAAGATATACACTTGCTTTTTTTCCCTGCTCCCTACAAAGCTACTAAAACCCCTGGAATGTCCTAAGGGGTGAGAGAGAGAGAGAGAGAAAGAGGGAAAGAGGCGTCATTTGTAACGTTAACGAGGTGACTTTTGGAAAGCCCTTGGGTCGCCTGAGTATGAGAACCACCTGTGTGATCGGATGATTAGGACGTTCTTTCAGGCTGGGGGTGGGGGCTGTCCCTTCACCCCCCTCCAGAGAGGAGAAAGGCTGCAGGCCCAGTCACTAAGACCAACGACTGTGTAATAAAGCCTCTACAAAAATCACTTCACTGAGATCCATGAGGTGCTCCAGCAAACTCATTGAACCTGACGAGGGGTGGGGGAACGCCCGATCCACAGCAGGAGGTCAGAAGCTCAGGGGACACCCTGGCCCGTCTCTAAAGTGGGGAGGAGAGAGTACTCTTGTGGGACTTGGAGGACTGGGTCCTTAACCTGTGGGACCTGAAGCTGTCTTCAGGTGTAGACAGTGTAAGAACTGACTGCTTGATTGTGCGGGGAAAAGACACACATCAGAATTGGTGTCAGACTTGGAGAAATCTATATAAAGCTCTTAGAAGAAAAGATAAGAGTGAATCTTTTTTACCAGGATTAGGCCATCATTTTTTAGAAATTACATCAAAAGCATGGTGGCGCTAGTGGAAAAGAATCCGCCTGCCAATGCAGGAAACATAAGAGATGTGGGTTCAATCCCTGGGCTGGGAAGATCCCCTGGAGGAGGGCATGGCAATCTGCTCCAGGATTCTTGCCTGGAGAACCCCCACGGACAGAGGAGCCTGGCGGGCCGCAGTCCATGGGGTCACAAAGAGTCGGACACGACTGAAGCAACACAGCACACATGCATACACATCAAAAGTATGAGCAACAAAAGAAAAACTAGACAAATTGGACATCATCAAATTTTTGAATTTTTGTGCTTCACGTGACATCATCGAGAAAGTGAAAAGACAACCCACAGAAAAAGAGAAAAATCTTAGCAAAATACATCTAGAATACATAAAGAATTCTTACAACTCAACCACAAAAAGACAAATAATCCAACTGAAAAATGGGCAAAGAAGCTGAATAGACCTTTTTCCAAAAAAACTAGAAGTTGGCCAGTAACTACATGGACAGCTACTTAATATCACCAGCCATCAGGGAAACACAAATCAGAACGACAGTGAGATACCACTTCACACCCACTAGGATGGCAATAATAAAAAAGATAGACTATTAACGAGTGTTGATGGGGATTCGGAGGAACTGGAACCTTCATATGCTGTGAGTGAGAATGTAAAATGGTGCAACCACTTTGGAAACACACTCTGGCAGTTCCTCAGAAGATTAAACACAGGACTTCCCTGGTGACCCAGTAGTTAAGAATCCACCTGCCAATGCAGGAGACACAGGTTTGGTCCCTGGTCCGGGAAGACTCCACATGCCTCGGGGTGATTAGGCCTACGCGCTCTAACAAGAGAAGCCACTGCAAGGATATGTCCACGCATCACGACTAGAGAGCAGCCCCGGCTCATCACAACTAGAGAAAGCCGGCAGGCAGCGACCAAGACCCAGCACAGCCAGAAATAAATTAAAGGCATGTTTAAAGACTGAAGACAGTTACCAAGTGACCCAGTATACCCGTATACTCTTAGGTGTATGCCCAAGAGAAGCAGACACGCGAGTCCCCGAAAGAACTCATACGTGACCCTGCAGAGCAGTCTTAATCATACTGGCCAGAGGCAGAAATCACCCACGTGTCTATCAATGGATGAATGAATGCACAAAATGTATATATATACAACAAGCTACTATTCAGATGTGAAACAGAATGAAGTGCTGGGACTTCCCTGGTGGTTCAGGGATTAAGGATCCGCCTTGCAATGCAGGGAACGCGGGTCTGATCCCTGGTCGGGCAGCTAAGCTCACGCTTAACAACTAAGACCTGATGCTGCTGCTGCTGCTAAGTCGCTTCAGTCGTGTCCAACTCTGTGCGACCCCATAGACGGCAGCCCACCAGGCTCCCCCGTCCCTGGGATTCTCCAGGCAAGAACAGTGGAGTGGGCTGCCATTTCCTTCTACAATGCATGAAAGTGAAAAGTGAAAGTGAAGTCGCTTAGTCGTGTCCAACTCTCCGCAACCCCATGGACTGCAGCCCACCAGGCTCCCCCGTCCATGGGATTTTCCAGGCAAGAGTACTGGAAGTGGGTTACCAATGCCTTCTCCAAGACCTGATACAGCCAGTCAAATAAATTTAAAAAATAAAAATAAATCTTTTTAAAAAACGATGAAGTATTGACACTTACTATGTACAACATGGATGGTGTTGTGCTGAGTGGAAGAGGCCATTCACAGAAGGCCACGCAACATATGACCTACTCACGAAGTATCGGAACAGGTAAACCTACAAACAGGAGTGGACTGGCGGCTGGGCCGGGAGCTTTAGAGGGAACTGAGGAATGACTCATTTCTTCCCGGGTTTCTCCGCAGGGTAGTGAAATGTTTTAAACCTTACTGTGGTGACGGCTACACAGCTCTGCAGATACTAAAGCCGTGAGCTCACACATTTAAAAGGGCGAACTCTACAGTATGTGAATGATCTCTCAGTTAGACCACTATCTCTCTCCCACAGGAGAAAGAGCATAAAACGTCCTAACGGTGGAGAGTGCTCTTACACTGCAGGGCCCTTCATGACCTTTTTGACCTTTCCTCTCCCTGCCCCCTGCCAACCTTACCCCCTTGCACAGTGTGTGAAGGCCGTCCTCCTAGCAACCCTGTGAGGTAGGGGACAGTATTCCCATTCTACACGTGAGAAAACTGAGGCCCGGGGCAGCCAAGGGACTCGGGGGCCCGCCGGATCGCTGTCCCCAACCACAGCAGTGGCCTCGCTGTTTCGTAATCGTGGCGTGCCCTCCCCGGACGGTCTCAGGACAGAGGCCGAGCTGATGCACCCCAGCCCTCCACTCCGACTCCTCTCTGACTGGCTGTGCGACTCAGGGCCAGTTACTTAACCTCTCTGGGTTCCCAGTAAAGACAGGATAGGAACCCTACGGATTTCACAGGGTGGTTATGGAGACTGTCGCTCAGTCGCTCAGTCATGTCCGACTCTCTGTGACCCCATGGACCGCAGCACGCCAGGCCTCTCTGTCCGTCACCAACTCCCGGAGTCCACTCAAACTCATGACCATGGAGTCGGTGACACCATCCAACCGTCTCATCCTCTGTCATTCCCTTCTCCTCCTGCCCTCAGTCTTTCCCCGCATCAGGGAAGACTCGTCCAATGAGTGAGCTCTTCACATCAGCTGGCCAAAGTACTGGAACTTCAGCTTATGAGGATTAAATAGGGTGAAGCTATGTCAGGGTCTTAGAAGAGCTGGGTACACGGGGAGGGGGGGGTCTCAGCCAACAGGTGGTGTGATTATCATCTGCGTGTCGGCACGGCTGAGCGCCGGGCGAGCCCTAGAGGGGCTTGCTGTGGGGCCCTCCGGGGGGGCTGGGAGTCAGTGAGCGGGGCTGAGGGGGAGCACACGTGGCCGCGAGTCTGGAGAGGCCCAGGGCCATCCAGGCAGCCCCTCCTCAAGGCAGCCCCCTGCCCACCCCGCGCGGCCCAGCCCTGGTGCTACTCACGGGAAGGTGGATGCCGCGAAGCAGAGGATGGAGAGCAAGCCCAGGCCCACACTGGCCTTGTCCCAGCCGTCCTGGGCGCACTCGCCCAGCACGTCCCATATCCACTGGCTGGAGCCGTTGGGGCAGCTGGAGAAGTTGGCGGAGCCCAGCTTCATCCAGACCATGGCTGCGGAGGGACGAGGGGAGGGAGCCGCGTGCTGAGGCAGGAGACGGCTCTGCAGGAGAAGAGAGGGACCTTCAGCCTCAGGAGGTCTGGGCCTCGCTGTGATCCTGCCACTCTAAGCCCACCCCAGGCGTCCTGCCTGGCCCTGACGGAGCCCCTGAACCCCAGGACACAGTCAGGATGGAGATCAAAGTGGCCACACACTGCCTCTGCCGTCAGACAGGTGCGTGCGAGTCCCCGCCCCGCCTGTGAACACCGTGACTTCGGGCAAGCCACTCCGCCTCACTGTGCCTCAGTCTCCCCATCTGCAGGATGGGGTGATGACAATGCCTCCCCCCACCCCACACACTCATGAGGGTTCAGTGAGTTCATAAATCTAGTGGGGAGGACGGAGCCCTCAAACAATGCCACCTCTGTTCTAACTCTTGAACGTTTCGATAGTTTCCAACCTTTTCTTCTTGTAAATTGTGCCGCGAGGGTCTATTGAGCCCAGGCACACCAAGTACGTCCTCTCGTTTAAAGTATGGCTCGCCACTTCCCTGGGGTCCCGGGACTAAGCCTCCATGCTTCCAATGTAGGGGGCCCGGGTTTGATCCCTGGTCAGGGAAGTTCTGCAAGCCACGCGGCCAGAAAAATTAAAAAGTACAACTGTCCTGGGACTTCCCTGGTGATCCAGTGGTTTAGGACTTGGTGCTGTCACTGCTGGGGCCAGGGTTCAATCCCTGGCCGGGGAACTATCCCACAAGCCACATGGTGCAACCAAAAAGAAGAAAAAGAAAGAGTATGGTTGTCCCCCATTATATTGGTCAGCTGAGGCAAGCAGCAAAGAAGGACCAGGTGAGTCCAGTTACACAGGTGGCTGGAATTCAAGCTTGCCACTCCCAAGCCGCATTCTCCCAGCAGCCCGCGTGTGGGGGGAATCTGTTGGCAAGGAGCTGGGAGCCACTTCCCTGTTTTCACCGCCGCCAAAGCCAGGAGCTGGCTGGCGGGTAGGGAAGTCCCCTCTGGGTGTCTGCCCCAGAGCAGTCACTGCTTAAGTGAAGTCCTGCGGAGGGAGAGGAGGCGGGTTGCCGGAGCGCCCCTGCTGGCCAGGATCAAGCCCTGATCGCTGAGCGGTGAGTCGGCTCTGTGCTCAGCACCGTGCAAGCTTTTCCGCATTTTGTTGCACACCAACTTCCCTCGTGGCTCAGCGGGTAAAGAACCTGCCTGCCAATGCAGGAGACACAGGAGACATGGGTTCCATCCCTGGGTCGGGAAGATTCCCTGGAGGAAGAAATGGCAACCTGCTCCACTATTCTTACCTGAAAAATCCCACAGACAGAGGAGCCTGGCGGACTACAGCCGAAAGGGTCACAAAGAGCCGGATGCGACTGAGTACACATACACAGCACGGCTCTATGAAGTGGGGGCTACGGACACGTCCAGGAGGACCCGGGAGAGCGACCTGCCGGGGCCGCCGGGCAGGAAGCACCCATGGCACCATACTTCTGTCCCTGGGCACGGCAGCACCCTGTGTGGTCTGGCAGGCCTACCCAGGGTCTCCTGCAGCCAAAGGCATGCTTCCCCTTTTCTCACGCTCAGAGGGGCCCTCCTCACCCAGGATGAGGCCTTCTCTAGCCACTTTCAGTTTCTGTTGGTGTCAGAGGGCCCTCATAAAACGACATGCGTAGACAAGGCTACAGACTCAATCCTACGTCCTTCCTGCCCCCAAGTTCGTGTGTTGAAACCTACCCCACAGTGCAATGGGGTTTTGAGGCGCAGCCTTTGGGGAGGATTTAGGTCATGGAGACAGAGCCCGCATGAATGGGATTAGTGCCCTTATTTAAAAAAAAAAAAAAAAAGACCCCAGGGAGCTCCCTTGCCCCTTCTGCCAGCTGAGGACCCAGTGAGAAGACAGCCATCCGTGAGCTGGGAAGTGGGTCCTCACCAGACACTGACTCTCCCAGCATCCTGACCTCGGACTTCCCAGGCTCCAGAACTGTAAGAAATCAGGGTTTGTTTCTAAGCTGCTCAGACTATGGTCCTTTGCCACAGCGGCCCAAATGGGCTGAGATACCCGGCTGGACCCTGGAACTGCGGAGGCCACGGCAACCAGGGAGCAGCGGGCAGGGAGAGGAAGCGACTCTGCCACTTTTCTCCGGAGGCTCCAGGCTCTCAGCGCTAACGTGACTTGCCAGGGGGCTCCAGAGCTGGGGGTAAGGGCACTGCAGGTCACTGCCTGGCTAGTTCTCACCACAGTCCCTCTGGGGCCTCGCAAGGGGGGCTGAAAGCCTCTTCCCGTGCCTCAGTGGCCCACCTTGACCTTCAACACAGCTGAGGTTGGAGCTGTCTATCTTACATCCAGCCACCAGCAGCTCCAAGGCCAGCCCAGGCTGACACCCAGTCCAGGTAGGAAGGGTGCCTTTGCGGCACCAAAGTCACCTCAAAATCAGCCCTTTTGCTCCCCAACCACCCCACCCCTGGATCGCCTCCTCCACCCTCTTCTTGTACAATAGAGCCCACACACCACCGCAGGTCATCAGGGTAGGACACCGCCAGCCTCATTAACTTCTCTGCAAGGGGAACACGGTCCTCATTTTAAAGATAAGGCTGAGTGGCCTTGCGCAAGTAACCGTCTGAGTCTGGGCATAAAATGAGGAAAGCGATGCTCACACTTTGGAGTTGCTGTACCGATAAGACACACACACAGCTCTTAGCCCAGGGCCTGACGCCACGGGAGTGACTGAGGATGAGAGGCTAGCATCTCAAGCACCCCGAGGCCACTCCCACCCCGTCTTTTCACCAGGTGAGCCAAGAAAGAGGGGCTTCCCTGATAGCTCCGTTGGTAAAGAATCTGCCCGCAATGCGGGAGACCTGGGTTCAATTCCTGGGTCGGGAAGTTCCTCTGGAAAAGGGATTGGCTATCCACTCCTAGAAAGAAGGAAGGTGGAGGGCTTCCCTGGCAGCTCAGTGGTAAATGCGGGAGGCACAGGTTTGATCCCTGCTCTGGGAAGATCCCACGTGCCGCAGACTAAGCCCACGCCGCAGACTAAGCCCATGCACAACCACCGAGTCTGCGCTCGGTCTGTTGCAACTAGAGACAGCCTCTGCACAGCGATGAAGACCCGGACCAGCCAGAGCTAAATAAAACAAACAATAAATTGAAAAAGAGGGGCCACTGCAATGAGAAGCTCCAGCACCAGAACTAGAGAGTGGCCCCCACTTGCCACAACTGGAGAAAAGCTGGCCTAACAGTGAAGACCCAGCACGGCCAAAAATACAACAAAACTATTTTTTCTAAAAAGGTGGACACGTGCCCGGTGAGGGAGGGAGGGAGGGGTGTCTTGAGGGATGTACTTTGGCTCACAGGGCCCAGGGCCCTGGGTGGGTGGTCCCCTGTCCATGCACGGGGCCGTGTGTAGCTCGGGGCTCAGGATACAGACCTTTGAGACACACCTGAGCCCCAAACAGAAGGCGATTTCCTCTGAGGGCCGCTGTGTATAGAGCCTGTCACTCACAGCTTCTGATCCAAGCAGGAAGCCAGCCTGGGCCTACCTTCTGGTCAACAGCACTGAGAGAATGGATGTCCGGGGTTGAGACAAAACTTGCCCAGGTCTGTAGGTGCGATGGGGACCACAATAGGGATTTTTTTTTTGGTAAGATGTACTTCATGGGTGCCTTATCAATGTTGGTGATGCTTTTAATTTTATTGAAGCATAGCCGATTCAGGGGTGCCTTGTGCTCATGAAGCCGCATGTCTGAACTTCAGGATCCGTGTGTCTGGGCTGGGGAGCAGGGATGTAAGAAGCTTCTCCAGCGGAGTTGGAGCCCTCGGATTCTTTGTACACGATCACACCTGAAGAAAGGCATGCCCTGCACAGCCAAACAACTCTTCCAGATCCCAAGCTGAGTCACAGAGATGCTCCCCAATGAAGCTGCCTTTATCTACCAGATAAGTTCAAACGCCTTGAGACAGAGCCCCAGGGTACTCCAGATGCCCCTCCCCATCTCCTGTCCCTCTCTCTAGGCCTTCAGAGGGTGATCCCAGGTCTCCAGATTTATGTCTAGGCTGTCTCCTCCCCCAGGTTTCTCCTTCTCACCCTGAAGGGCATACCAGTGGCGGCTCAGATGGTAAAGCATCTGCCTGCAATGTGGGAGACCCAGGTTCAATCCCTGGGTGGGGAAGATCCCCTGGAGAAGAAAATGGCAACCCACTCCTGTACTCTTGCCTGGAAAATTCCATGGACCGAGGGGCCTGGTAGGCTACAGTCCATGGGGTCGCAAAGAGTCGGACACGACTGAGCAACTTCACTTTCACTTCACAAGACCAGTTCTAAACTGTCCTCTCAATACAGATGGGCCTCACAGGAGTGGCTGGACAGCACCTGTCATCTCTTCCCCTGCCCTCCTCCACACACCAGAAGAATGCTCATCACAGTCCTCAGGGATCACCACTTTTAAGCTCACTCTTCTCTGCCATCCTAGTTGGAAACTTATTCTTAGAACCTAGACACAACAGCTGCACAGTAAAGGTTCAGAAAACAGCAAAAGACAGAGAGGGAGGGTGGGGGAGAGAGAAAGGAAGGAAAGAAGGAAGGGAGAGAAACAAAGGAAGGAAGGGAGACCTAATTGTCAGCTAATAGTCAGGTTGAGAAGAAAGCTCTCTTGAACTGACCTGCCTGACGACTGCTAGTGTAGAATTCCTGGGCAAGTGACTGGGCCTCAGGGTTCCAACCTGTAAAATGGGGGAATAATATAAGAATCCACCTGGGAGGCTAGCTGCAGAGTTACATGAGATAATACAGGCAGAGCGATCAGAAGGGTGCCTGGCACAAGTTAAGCACTCAGTAGAATAAGGAGGGATGGTGTTATTCCCTTCTGGCTGAAGCGTTCCCCTCCCCCCCCCCCAGAGTCCCTGGCAAACAGCAGGCTTCAGCAAGCGCTGAATAGACAAGACCACGCCAGCCCTCATACTTCCGAAGGCAGACTGCCCATGTAGGCACTTTGGAAACCTGTCCTAGG